ATTACCGTGGGATCGAGGTGATTTGGTGGTTTTGTGGGGTGTTTACGACCAAGTCACTACTAGCGACTTGTCACTGATAAGGCTTTACTAGGCCACTACGACTGACTCTTAACTAACTCTTAACTCTAGCGACTATACTCTCAATCCCTCAACTAACAACTGCTGATCTGACAACTACTCACTTACTACGGGCCCTTTTTAAAGCCCGTCCAGAGGACAAGCACCTCCCCGAAGGAGAAGAAACTCCCTCTACGCCAAAGTCAAGGCTGGAGAAGACCTCTCTGAAGCCGGGATTGCGCGAGGCCTTCTCGCGTGGTCTGGCCCCGATCTCCTACGGCTCATCTGGCTGTCAGATCCTAAGTGCCGAAGCCTGATAGCCTAAATCAGACTTTTCAACCATGCCTCGTGTCCGGTGACCCGAAGCAACATAGAAATTCGTCTAGAATATGCAGTAAACGAATAAACGAATAAACACCGAGGCACGTACTGCTGGGCATTTAGGATCTGGCTATTGAAAGACGTTGAGGAGTCTTTCTGTACTTAACTCTACGTCTATTTCCTAAAACTATCCTACAATACGTAACGAGAAATGGCGTGGACCCGATATCGGTCGATCCGTAGGATAGAGGATTCATCCATTTTCCATTCTCCAACGCGGCTTCATCGGGTAACCTTGGAAGGGTGCGTGTACGGAATATCGCGAGAGCGTGTACGAAAGGACGGTTAACACCTACTTTATGTAACGGCGACGTGCGAGACAATGCCGTTGGCCCATTGTACCGGGATGGTTGTATGTACCACGTGCTACGAGTAATTCCACCCTTATACCGGATTCCGAATATTCTCAAAATGAAGCTCCGGGCTTTTGGGCTCCGTTCCAACTGTCTCTTCCTGCGGCTAGACCCGTTGCATAAAACCGCGCACTTACCCGCCTCGCTCTTGTCAGGTTCAAACGGAAAGTTTTAGTATCGCCAGCTCGGTCTGACCTGCTAGAGCTTCGGATAATATCGATAGCATTCTTAACGAGAGCAATGGACCTGTATAACCCCGTATCGGCAACCGAACACGGAATAATTTCCGCGACTCGACTCGCCAGCGAGCCGGCTGGAGTATCGCGGAACCGGTTACGATTAATCGCGACTCGGAAAACTCGGAAAACTCGCCACGATACCGAGATGATGGCGTTCGCTCGTAACAAGGGTCTTTGATACCTCGGTGGAGTAGGACAGACGAGAGAAAAGGGCTAAACGAGTTAGTCGCCGATGGAACACTCGCGTCCGTGGGGTGGATTTAACGACCAAGTTAAACGATCCTCGTTTACCTGCGCGAAATCCGATTAGCAGAAGGAAAATGTTTCGCGTAGGTGATTTTGTCGCTGGAAGGATCAAAGGACCAGCTCGCTTTCGGGGAAACCGTTCGGGAAAATCGAATTAATAACGGCAAACCAGAGTCTGCGACGCGATCCTTGAGACGGTTCTAATTAACGCGCCAGCGTTTACGAAGTCATTATGCATGCTGTCTGGAAGACCGAGCGTACGTGGTGACGGCTGATCTACCTATCGTCGGCAGGCAGAGTCAATCTTGCCGGTGGTGCAATCTCCAAGTTGCTCGGCCCTCGATCCCTCGATCCCTCGGTTTTTCCAGCCTGTTCGAGTTGGAGTTTGAGAGAGAGAGAGAGAGAGAGAGAGAGAGATAGAGGGGGAGAGATCGATCCGGGGGATCGTAATTGTAACGAAACGCAAAGAAACGGGACTGTTTGCGCACCAGCGAGGACATCACGCACGACAAATGGAGGAAGGAGATTAGGGGGTGGCGGGTGGCCGCGTCGGACTAGTAGCCTCGGTCGGAATTGGCTCGCTCACGATAAAAGACAAACGAAAGCTCTCGAACTGGCTGGCTACACGGGACGGTATCGTTGGTTCGCTTCTACTGCGACGAAACGACGAGGGAAAACACGGGAGGAAACGTCGAAAGGTCCAGGGGAGTCCCAGCTGGAGAGAAAATGGTAGCAAGCGAACGGCAGCCAGGGACTCGAATAGAAACGTCAAACTTTCCAGGTGCTTTCTCAAAGCGCACCGTAGCTAATATGGAACTCGACGAGACGGTTATCGATGTATCGATTCGAGACCTCACGAACCGACCACCCTTCCCGCTTCCTCCCATTTTTTTCTAAACAAACGGAGATTAAAGGAGGGGAAAAGAGGAAAAGGAAGAAATTTCGCGGACGATTCGCGAGGAAATTCGACGAAGAAGAGGACGCCGAGATTTAGAGAAGGGAAAAAGGGAGTAGAAGTAGAAGCCTGTTTGCTTCGTAAATTTTTCTACTCGCCCGAACGAACTATAACGTTTAACGAGTCCCGACTGGCGAGTAAATCGAAGGTAAACCCGTTGCCTTAACCGAAGCTTAACCTATGCCGAGCTTGCTAAAGCTCCTTGCCCGGACTCCGAAACAGCGCGGAAGACGAGCAAGTTGCATAGATTACGACGAGGCTTAATCGAGTGGGCAAGTTTATCGATCGTTTCGAAAGTCTTCCATCCGATTAACGGTCGTGGCTGAATTCCATCGGGTTCCCCCCTTTCGATCCTCCCTTTCTCCACCTTTGTTTCCCCTTTTTCCCCCTTCTTTTCCTATTTCGTCGTCGTCGCGGACCAACGACGCCAGTCGGAATAAAGACGGATACGAAGCCTGGGCTTAAATCGAATTCCTGGATGCCGGCCGATCGATCGCGAGTAATTAAGTGCTCATCCGGCAACGCGAAACCTACCCGACGAAGGACACGATCCTCTGGGAAAGAATCTCCTCGCGAACCGAGATTATAAAACAATCGAACAAAGCCGGCGCCGCGAGCGCGGGGCTGGCGCGGGGGTTGCAGGCGGGGGTTGCAGGCGGGGCGGGCTCGAAGCGAAGCGGAAAAGAGGAATGGAAAAAAGACTGGCGGAAGGAGAAGAAATCTTGATCTGTTCCGACGGTCTGCGCCACCTTCTCCGAGATTCAAATGGCCTCGTTTCGAATCGATTTCGAATTATCTTCGGCGAACGGATTCCGGCGTGGTGGGGATAAAAGAAAGAGAGTCTGTCGGTGTAGTGGAGAAAACGAGCTGCAGACGGAGAACGCGACGAGAGAAAAGAATAGAGAGAGGAAGAGAGAGAGAGGGAAATGGAGGAAAGAAGAAAGGAAAGAGAGGATGGAAAAAACGAAGACGAGTAGGGGGAGGAATTTAAGCGAGGAAGAGGAGGACGAGCGAAAGACAAAGAAGAAGTTCGAAGGACGTCTCCCGTCCGATTAAACAGGCACGGGTGCATTTGGCAAGGTCTTCGGCTAGTAAGCCGTGTCCCGGTTTTACCTACTTGTTGGCTCTAACAACCCCTGCCCGTGTCCCAGTGGCGCGTTCTCTGCGAACCGGAGCCCCATCGCCGGCGATCGTCCTTTCCCCGTCGTCGGCTAATTGAAACGCGATCCAACGAAACGGGTCGAAAGACCCCGGAAGAAACTTTTGGGCGTGTCGGTGAGTCGACTCGGTTAAACCTATTGTTTAGCCCGATGCCGGATTCTTCGCCGGTGACGTTTAAGCGGTGAGTACGACGACGAGGACGTAAGAGCGAATCGAATTCGCCGCGACAAAGCGGCGCCATTTTGTCATGCCGAGTGAACACGAACGAAACGAGATATGACGCAAGTCTGTGCCAAACTGGCCTAATTAAACGCGACGTCGCGTAGCTAGTTTGGAAAGACGCTCGTCTTGCCACCAGGTGTAGGCGCGCGCACGCATGGGCCTGCGTTGGTCTGTCCTCTTTCGTTCTCGTTTCCTTTTCTCCCTGGTCCTCGTTCTCGCCTGTCCATCCTCGTTTCCATCCCCGACGCAAAAGCGTCGAGGCTTTTTTCACCGGACTGCTCGCCGCTGCCATGTTAATTTTCCCGGAGAAGGTAGAATTCTTGAATCAAATGCATTCGTTTTGTCTCCTCGTTAGCCGGGACAAAAGAGGAACGGTACAAAAGATAACGAAACTAGCGCTCTTTTCATCCGGTTTGATTAAACAACTAAGTGCACCGCTGTATCATTCTTAGCTACGCTGCACGGTTGATAAGCCGTCAGCCGGCACTTCCGTCTCTGCCGTCGTTCCCCTTGTCAATCTCCCCACAAAGGAATGCAAAGTCAAAGGATTTAAGGTGATAAAGAATACAGCGTTATTATTCGACCACCGTATCGAGCAAGGTTGTAGCTTCGCGGGATACGACGGTCGTTAACTAACAAGAAACAACGTTCGCCCGACCCCGCTTTTTCTTTTCTCATCCCCGGCTACTATGCCCTATGCTCGTCTTCCCTTGCCTTTTTCCCTCTCGCGCCGCGCCACGTTGAAACGGATAAATTTGTAACAAAGACGAGCAGCGTAACATCTCCGATCGTAAAAGTTATCGAGCCACGTCCTCTCCTCCAGTCTCTTTCCCCGGATAACGTGCGCGCAATAATAAAGGATTTATCCGTTCCGTGCTAGCCGGGGGACGGCTTCCCCCGTCGTTTCTTTCGATATCCCAACTTGGTACAACGAGATAGGAAAAAAATATGATATACGGAAATACCCACGTCTGCCTTTCGTCGACCTAGACCAAACTTTGCCTCCATCTGTCCCCGACGAACGGGTAATCGGTTGGAAAAACGCGACGCGATGCATCGGATGAGAAAGGGCGCTGATAGACGATAAGATGGCCGACAAAGGAATCGCGAGGAAGACGCCACCCGGCGGAGCGGCTAGGTAGCATGTTTATCTGTAATTTATCGCGAGGGTAGGCCGTAACGAGAAACGAAATCGCGATTCGAATCTCGCGTTAGTCCGAGCACGAACGAGAAAGAAATGGATCAAAGTCGGGCCAAGAGAGAGAGAGATACACGCGTGTCTCCCGGCGAAATCGGGAAAAGCGGGACGCTAGTGAGATGTTCCCCGGCGTAATTACCATCGACCGGGATTTCAGGCGTGTCTAAACCGAAAATTCTTGTTTCCAGAACCAAATACTGGCGCACAACACGTCAGCCAGGATAATCTGGTCGAATCAGAGCCTGGTGCTTCAGAGCGTGACCAGGAGTAGCGCCGGCAAGTACGTGTGCGCCGCAACGAATGACCTGAACGAAACTCGGAGCAAGCCTCTTCATTTTCGCGTCAAGTGTGAGTATCTCCGTGGCTCGTCACGAGAACCACTTCAGCGATCCGCCGCGGAGCGTACTTTGTTTTAATCGAGCAGACTTAATCGAGGATTTTCCATGCCACTCGGTAACGAAGCCCGGCATTCAGGGACGAGCAACGGAACCACCACCGTTCCCCTGCACGTGATTCGCGTGCACTGCTTTCGCGTATTTATTCCGAAACAGCCACACCGAATCTCTCCCGCTCCCTCTCCTCTGCCTCTCTCTCTCTCTCTCTCTCTCTCCTCCTCCTCCTCGTTCCAGCTGAATATTTCACCCGTACTTAGTTCCAGCTACATTTTTGATATCCAATTCCCGGCTTTCACCGAGCAAACTGCCAACCGCGCTGCGATCTCGAGAAACGCAGGATTCACCGCGTGCTACCCACGAGATCGCCCCGTATACAAATTGAATATGCCGGATTTAAAAAAAGCAGCCATCGAGCCGCGTCATTTTCAACGACGAGCCGTCACAACGGCCATTTTTCCATTGATCTTTCCGATCCTCGTTACCATTTATTCCTTTGACTGCCACGCAGAAATCACGTGCTTCGCTCAAGATACCACGGAAGTGTTTTTGTTATTCGAAGCATGTAATGGCAAAATAGTAATAAATTGGCGATATAAGACAACATTCTTACCCAATGGAGCGTTTATCTTATTGGGTCACGGGTCACGGGTGACCACCGTGGCGCCTTGTTAACGGTTGACACTCGACTAGTTGTCAATTTTCATTCGATTTTCACGATTGTAAGTAGTTCAAGCGTTCCAGTCACCAATGACCATCATGGCGTCACAGGAGAAACCGTGATCATGTCTGACCAACGTGGCAGTCAAAGTGTTAACCCTGTGAGATCCGAGTTGACAGATTCTTGCTCGAAATTCCGCGTCCCCTCGATTTCGTCGAGTGAAATTGTAACTCGCGATGGAGGCAGGAAAGCCGTTACGAGACGACTGTCAAGCGGTGGAAGATCTGTATGAATCGGATAAAATTTACTTCGACTAGGATTATTTCGACGCGTTCGTGCACCTCTGTAACCGGGATCGTAGAAAATGGCAAGAAACAGAGGAAAGGGAACGTCGACGCAGGATCGCGAGGGGTTAAACCCGCGGTGGGTGGTGACCCAGGCCTGGTCCGCGATACCAACGGGAAACATGGTCGTGGTTGGAAGTGATTTTAACCGTTTCGCACGCGAAACGCCATTTACCCGATACTTTTAGCCACTTAAGTCGCCGTAGTCGGCGGTAGCCTGGCGTTAACGCGGAACCGTAAAAATGGCTGGCTCCGGTCGTAGAGAACGGGGTTTCAGCCATGGAATATGGATGCGCGGTGAAAACAAGCCTGGAACACGATCCCCCGATATTTAACCGCGGCTCTCGACGGCCTCGTAAAGGTCAGGGGAACGAGCGCCGGCATAAGCAGCAATCTCGCGGGAGTTGGCAGAATCGAAGTCAACCTCGTATCTGAATTTAGTTTCCACGGTTATTACATCGCCAGAGCCGATCCTGGGAATGACATTTGCTTTAGGCTATTCACGTTCCCCCCTCGGAACGAGGTTTCCTTCGGTTAGAGATTTAAATCAACTTCGATCCAAGTTTCGACGCGTTAATCGCCGCCTGCCGAACGTCATCCTGCCCGATGATACTTTAACCGAAAGCGTTCGCTTGCGTAAATTTAGATTATCTGCTTATATACGAGCACGTTGCCAGCGGAAAGAATTAGATTTACGAGTGTGTCCGATTAATCCGCGAAAAGAGAAATTACGACTTGGTGCCCGTGTACGATTCCATGCAATCGGTTCAAAGGGCCATTCGATGAATGAGCATTTTTTTGAAAGGTGTTTCAAAGTAGACGTCACAACGTCGGCCGCGATTAAGCGGAAGCTGGGAAAAAGCGGAGCGCGGAAGGTATAAAATCAAAGGGCAGCGATGCTTAAACCGTGAACCCGCCCCTGTAAGCCGGGCGATGCTTCCCGACACGGATGATAATTAAATTTCATTCGCGCTACTCGAATAGCGCGACATCGCTTGGCATCGCGTCCGATTATTCTTGTCGTTAATTTCGAATGACGGATTCGCCAAGGCGCGGTTCCAGACCAATGTTTCCGATTTTCCCGCCCGTTAATTGCACCGTGGAGAAGACACCGAGTGTCACACGCTCGCTTATTCCTCGTCAAGTTCGGTTCGCGGGTTCGTTCGTTCGATAAGAGCGAACGTGAAAAGGCGAAAGACCACCTCGCGTCTTACCCCTTGCCCTCGCACGTCACCCATTCGCGGCAATATGCATTTTAACCCGATACTTACTGCACCCGCGGTGCATCCTTTTATACTTATTTCATCCTGGCCCGACGCATTTCCCGTTTAATTCCTCCGTTTCGCCGGGTCCTTTGTCATTTGCTCGTTCGATCGTTCGACATCCGAATGGAAAATATGGAAAATATGGAAAGAAATGGCGGCCGATCGCGGTAAAGACCGATGACGGGAAATATTTATTCGCGCTTGTGCCAAGGAACGAATGGAAACGAATTACCGGGCGAAAAGGCTCGTTCATCGGTCGCATCCGGATCACCTGCCATAATTCATCCGGATCGCTATGCACTGCCGCTCCTGTGTACACGGCTCGTTTATATCGGCTCGCGTTTCCTCCACCGCGCTTCTCGTTTACACGTGTTCTCCTTAAAATCGCGGATGAGACATCCGCTACGAGCAATCGAAGGCTCCCTTTGTTTGCCAAACGTCCCGAGATGTATCCTCGAGAGCTACATCTTTGTCCGGGTCTTCGCGTTATTTCTCTCGCCACTTTACGGTCTAACTTGTTGTCCCAATTGCCGACTCTGCTACCCTCTTAGCGTCCCTAAGCTGTCTTTTTATCGCCGGAATTCTTCTCCCGGCACTGCATCTTTTTACCGCCTTCACTTTCTTCCTTTTCCCCTCTTCTCCTTTTATTGCTGGAATCGCTTCTTGTTGCCACCCTTGCGTTATTTTTTATCGCCGCGATTCCTCATTCCCCGCCATGCTGCGTTCCCTCTCTAGCAAACAGAGTGCAAGTCCTTTGCATCGTTGATTTAATTTTAACCGTGTAAATTTGGTTTGTAAATTTAATCAGACAGTGCAAGAAAATATATCATTATAAAGGCAACTACTCGATAATTTTTGAAATATTTATGATTACAGTTTCATCTCTGCCTTTTACTTTTATTATAATTTATTTCGAATATTTATCAAGTGCCGTCGTGACCTAACGGCGACGTCCGAAAATTCCCACGCCGGTGACCTGAGGTTCGATTAATAATTTTATTTACAATTTATTTCAAATTACATGTTTTCACGAGCGCAAAATTGATATAAAATAAAGTGTAGACGGGATAGAAATTTTCGAATGTCGGGTCACAACGGCGCTCGATAATTATCGATAATTATTCGAAATAAGTCTGTAGTTAAGAATAATAAAGCTTTGATCATAAGTTTCTAAAAAATTATTGAATAGCTACCCTTGTAATGGTACATTTACTTGACTTGGATGACTAAATCTACAAACCTGCGAACTTTCAACTAAATCAATGACCCGAAGGACTCGCACCCTCCTCGTAAGAGTCCTTCCGCGATATCCTGTTCGCGGCACGATTGCCCCTTGAAACGTGGAGATTTTTCCAACTCCCAATTTCATGGCGGCAGACTATGGCAGAAGGGAAGCCCGTCGAGTGATAGATCGTCATCTGCCGCCACTGATCCGGGATGAACGCTGTCCACGCAAGTAATTGGAAAGGAAGGCGCCTTCGGAGGCGTTTGACACTGACCAGGTAGCATCCGCGGAAATAACTCGGGGAAAATGATCACCGACCGAGTATCCTAGACGTAGCGTGACAGGATGGCACTCGAGCAAGGGATAATCGGGTAATTTATACCGAAACGCTTCGACACTCGTGGCAATCGTCGTGGTAAAAGCGAATCGCGACTACCGTGGAAAAAGCGCGTTCATCCGTGCTTTCGCGAAGCTCGACGAGCCAAGTTTAACCTGGAATAGCACCTGGTTACGGGCAAGTAGTCTGCGGCACTTTGGCACTCGAGTCGAGTATTCTTCGATAAGGTACACGAGTATCCATAGCTGTGCGATCCTTATCGATCTCGGATGCCGAATCGCGCGAGCGACGCCCGCGGTAATCATCGCTTCATTTTTTTAATACCACGGAAACCGGTTAATAAATCGATAAATCGATGGAACCACGGAGGTTCGCGGGAATCCCCGGAGAGGATGAAATTTCGAAATCACGGTGAAACGCGGCGCGAGGCGTATACCTGTGTGTGTGTGTGTGTGTGTGTGTGTATACCTCGGCCCAGTTTCGCTCCCTATTGAAAAGGATGGAGGATTGCACGCGACCGTAAGTGTCGATTCGTCAATCGACGAGTCTGCTCGGTGCTATAATTCAGTAGCTTGCCATATCGTGGAAATTGCCTCCTCGAAGATTGCCTCGGCTCATAAACGGGCTTATGTCTAAACGCAACGGGCCAACCCTTTCGCTTTCCGGGCACGATCCGGACTCTTTGTGTTCGCCACTGTTTCATCTGTCTCCCCGAGACGGGATTTTATCACTCTTCCTCGCGCTATTTCCTTTCCCGGCTCAAACATCGCGCCGATGAACCATCGGACACTCGCAGCTTCCCGGGCACCAACGTCTCCCCGGATAGTCTTACTCGGGGAATAACGATCGCGCCGATTGCACTCGTCTCATCCGGTTTTCCCTCCTCCTTTTTTCCGCCTGTTTGCAACGATAAGATACGTCCGTCTATTCGTCTCTCTTACACGGCGAGACGAAAGGCGAGACGCATGCAGGTGGAGATAGGAAAGGCAGATAAATTGGAAGGAATGTATATCGCGGGGATGGTAGCTCGGCAAAGACGGCGGGAGTCGTAGGTGGAAAATCTTTTTACATCAGCCGCGAAACGATTTCGTCCGAGCGAGAGCTCCCTCGTGACGAAACTGCGGGGCATGCTCGGGGAAATTGCCGAGGTGAAAACTCGAATAAACGGTCCTCTCGTGTAACAGGACCAATCGTGTCTCGCTAAATGTCCCCTGTTCGAGCACCCTCGAGTATCTCGTCTTTGAATCCCGAAGCCGTAACATTGGACCGAGCTGGTCTCGTAGCCGAGAGTGGCTGGTTGGAAATTTGGAAAGCAGACGAAGCTAAGTCAGACCAGGCCAGATCAGGCCAGGTGTCTCGAGTCGAATTCCCGAGCGAAATTGGCGAAACGGGGAGAGAGATAGGCAGAAAGGGTATAGAGCGGAGATTCACGGTGGAAATATTTTTCAGTCGCGCCTGTGTGCAAGGAGGACAGGATCATGGTGGTCGGAGCGTCGAGGGGCGAGTCGTTGAACATCGCGTGCAGAGTGGAGGCCGATCCGCCAGCGCACAATTTCCGATGGAAATTCAACAACAGCGGAGAGACGTTGGAAGTAGCGCCGGGCAGATTCTCGATGGAGAAGTCGAGCGGCGTGAGCGTGCTCAGGTACACGCCGACCACAGAGCTGGATTACGGTACTCTGTCGTGCTGGGCGGACAATTCCGTCGGTCCACAAGCGAGACCGTGTCTCTTCCAGCTGATAGCCGCCGGTAAGTATTTACCGGATCTCGGTAAACGTTACACCAGCCGAGTAGCGATCTCGCGCTCGACCTCGAGTCTTCGAGTGGTCAGGAAATCGAGTTAAAATCCTTTCTACGGCCAGAAACGAGCCCGTTTACGCTGCTAAAGTACCACGACCTTCCGTGTTACGTTTCGTCCACCCGTGAAACCGTGTAAATAACACACTTTGTACACGACCGACCGAGCTACTCGCGACAAACCGCCTGGAAAATATTTCCAGAACTCCGTTCCGTGTTTCGAAGGCGAAACGAACGTTCTCGGAATGGTTCGCTGATAAAACGGGTACACGGTAGGTATGGAACGGGGAAAAAGAGAGGAAAAAAAAAAAGAAAGGAAATTTCCATCCGACGTTCCGAACGAGATCAGCCGGAAAAGTCGGCTGGAAATTACCCGAAAATCCTGCTATCTAGAACCGACTCGACGATACCGGTGTTTCGCACATGCGCCGGTTCGGAATCGCGAGAATCGCGCGGAATTGCAACGCGCGTGACGAGACCGGATGGATGATACGGAAATCGCGAAATAAATACTGAGAAACACGCGGCGTACGAGCCGAAGCTCGAAGGTCTAACCTGCGTAAATTATTCAAAGAGCTCCGCATTCTTGCCACCCCCGGGACCGTAGCGAACCGCCGAGACTATTAACGCTTCAATTATTTACCCTTTCGAAACCAAGATTGTTCCACCTCTAAAGATCCTTCCAATTAGTTCGAAAGCGATCGTTAATCAAGCTCCCGGTATCACCGTTAACCGACCACTTATCCGACTCTCCATCGATTCGTGCTAGCTTTTTTCACGCGACCAGCCATTATTTATCCGCGATTGCTACCGTGATAGCTCCCGCGTTGTATCGCGTTACGATTACATTTTTCTCCCTGTTCCTTTCTTTTCCTCCCCGCCAGAAACACTCGATTAAAAATCTATCCGCGAAACCGATTAATCCCGCGCTGCTCGAATACGCGAAACGACGTCCATCGGTGATAATTCGTCGATGCGATGGATCGATTAGCGAGGGATATTACACGCGTGTACGGGTGCAAATTTTGTCGCGATAAACACGTTGTTAAGCATTATCCGATAATATATACGTGTTTTTTTTTTCTCTCTCTCAATATTCGGTACGATGCGGAGGGTTGATTGGAAACGAGGGAAATTAATTAATAACCGATGGTCGATAAATAGGGGGTGGAAGAATCGTGGAGCCCATAACCGGGCCTCGCGCGTAGCGACGAGTGGAAATGGGTGGAAATTCGTGGAAAACGAAGGGAGACGGCCGGATGAGCCATTTTGTAGGCCGCGCGTCGTTCCTCGAGCGGCGAGCAATTTTCCAAGGGACCCCCTGTTTTCAGGGAGACCCGCAGGCGGGGTCGAGAGGTCAAAATCCTGACAGATATTCGGGAATTATCGCCGCGCGTACAATGCGATGCTACCAATCATCGAGCGGTAAACCGACATTAATCCGCGAGCGGATTTTCGCCGCGCAGCTTCGACTCGACGTCCTTTTTTCCGCCTGTGATCGAGAATGACGTTGACGCGACAACCTGCCGAAAGCGGACCGACGTTGACGAATACGCGCCGCCAAATCGGCGTCCTTCCGCTTTTGTTCGTCCTCGCAGCGCGCATATTCGTCTCGAGCTTCTTCTCTTCGCCATCTTCCCGGTTGCGCGAAAAATTCAGCCGGAAGAATTTTCCGTGGATCTTTCTGTTCTGCAGCGATCAACGTTCTCACCCTCGCTAACAGATGGATTCCTACTTGAAGAAGGTTTCTCGCGAGTCCTCGGTGAACCCTCGACCTCCGTAAATACAAAATTCCTACGCTATCCGAGTATCCCCCCGTCTAAGGCAGGGCTTGCTAGAAAGAAAATAAATAAAAATATATACATAACCCACTTTCTTCTCCCTCATCCTCTCCATCTCCTATTTATTTATTTATTTATTTATTTATCTTGTAGAGTCACGCAGTCTCTGCTACTCTGGAGAGTACTTCGGCTAAAAATTTCGCCGACTAAGAACTGGAACTAACTGTAAATGACTGATTCACTGACTCGATGCTTAACCGATTGCTTCACTGACTATCTTAACAACTGTCAACTCTTAAACTGCCTCTGTCCGGAAGGCAGAGGAAACTTCCTCCACGCCAAGTCTAAGTTTTCATTTGTAACCCTTCTGTACGTTTCGCTATTTTCTGTATGTATATTATCGTATCTAGTTTCTGGCCTATTAAACGTATGTTAAATTGAAATTGGATTGGCCTGCGAGAAAGCCTTACTGACGAGTCCAATAGCAAGCCCAGGATTAAACGCACCCCTTCCTTTCCCTTGCGTCACTCTGCCTGCTACGTGTCATAGCACAACGACCAAGGGGGTACCAATCGGCAGCACGTAAGAACCACATGGCCGAAACATCATCGGAAGCTCGTGAGAGGAAGACCCTACAGTTGGAAAGGATGCATCGAAAGTTCACTCGACGACGCGTCTTAATCGAAAAGGTTCTTACCTACGCGAGGATTGGGAACAGGATCGCGAAGCATGCTACGCTGGATAGCTGGTGCAACGCGATATAATGCTGGAAACGGAATCGAGGCTAGTCGGTCGTCGATTCCGTTGGATCCCCGGTAGTGGTTGTCGTAGCGAAACCTTTGGCGAATCTCTTTCATCCGCAGCGACCCGTAAAGCGGCCCTCGACGGAACGAAATTATTTTCAAATCTGTCGTTATTGGTATCGGATATTGCGTGGTCGTTGGAAAGATATTCGATGCCGCCGAGGGGAGGGGGCGAAATGGGTGAGAGGTCATGGAGTGCAGGGACACGCGGGTCAAAGAAAGTTAAGCTCGTTACTCGACGACGGTTTTCGAGCATTGTCCGCAGCCGCCCCGTGAAAAACTATTTTCCGCCGAATTTCCGATGGACGTAGCTAAATTTTAAAAACGACAGACAAGAATCGCTGACGCGGGAACGTCATTACCGCGGGCCGATGTTGATTAAATAATCGACTCCCGCGGCTGGAAACAGTTTCGAACTAGGGGAAAAAGTACAGGCCGACCGGCGTTCCGCGTTTCCATTTTTCAGATAGCCATCCGTACAAGCTGAACCAAGGCTAGTCGATTGTTCGTCTTTTTCTCTCTATTTTGTTTCCTCTTTTTAACATCGGGAATGGAATATTCGATCGAAATCGCGGTGCAAGCGTACCGTTTGGCGTGGTCGCGCGAACCGCGCGCGCGCGCGCATGCATGATGACCCCCCGCGGATGAAAATGAATCGAAGGCGGGGTAGAAATTCGTCGTACCTTCGGGGGAGGATGGAAGGCTGCGCGGCCGGGAAAAAAGCGGACGCGACGGCCGCGGTTTCGCGATTAACGCGAACGAAATCCGCGAGCAAGCAGCGTTTGCGGGCGAGAAAGCAAAGAGCGGGCCTGTAAACAGGTTGAAGCCGGGGAAAAACAAAGAGTACGAGAGGTAATAGGATGCAAAGCGAAATAAAGTCGAGCCGAAGGATTCGCTTTCTACCCGTTTACTCTAGCGTCGACGGAAAAGACGAATAATATTTATTTTCTCCTCGCCGCTCGGACCCGTGATAGCTTCGCTGTCTGTTTAAGAAGAAGGAAATTTCATTTGGAAGGAAGGGGAGAGAGTGAGAGGAGAAGAAAGGGAGGAAAAGCGAAGAAGGAAAATAGCGAAGCGAGGTAACGGCAACGCGAAGAGGACCAGAGGAACGGACGAATCACGAGTGCAACTGCGCTTTCACTGGCGACAGAGAAGAAGAATTTTCGTAGGACGCAAACTGCATCAGTGCCCGGAGACGGGGAGAGGGTTGATGGAACGAACGAAAAGAAGAAAAAGAATGGGACATCTCTGTGACCATTACTATCCCGGTACACTAAATCCTTGCCACTCGTAGACGCGCAAACATTTTTCACCGGGGTCGGCGAGCTTGATTTCCAGAGAGCCGACGCTCTCGTGCGCTTTCAGCCAACCTGTAGAGCGACCTTCGAGCGTACAAAGTATCCAGAAAATATTACCGGACAAAGAGCGACAAACGAGCCCGCGCGATAACAAAAGAGAAAGAGAGCGGATCGCGAGGCGGAAATTTCCTTGGAACGAACGAACCCCGTATTCGCGACGCTCGGAACGCGTCACGGATCTCGCCACCTCTAACCTCGGCGTCGGCATGCGAATTATTTTCGTCGCTGGATTCGAAAAAGCTCGCGCCGCTCGGCGACCCGCGCCAACTCGATGATAATCGCTTACGCGCGTAAGGGCGCCCGAGATAACGTCGTCTCCGCTTTCCTCCGCTTCCAAGCACTCGCGAAGCCCGCTCGGAGCAGTAGGAAAATTCGCACAAAGTAGCCGTGGAATATTGCGAGTTAAAAGGGCGAGCGACCAGCTGCGGACCTCGTCCGTTTACAATCGTAACGTTCTGAAGAGCCAGCCAAGACTGAAATCCTTTACGAAGCAATTTCACGCGCCGGCTCGTTTTAATATTCGAAGCTTCCCGGAAGAACGTCAACTTTTGCCCCGCGAAATAACCGACTCTCGGCTGCTCGCGGGTCTGTCGGGGATCAGGCTGGAACGCGGTAGCCGGAATCGATCCTCGCGAGGGTGCGGAAGCCGGTGGCCGGCGAGTCGCCGCGTGTTTTAATAATAATCGACGGAGGAAAACGCGCGACGCGGGCAAGCAAGCAGGTAGAAAGGCGAATCGAAAGGGGGTAAAACGTGCGACGTAAGCTCGTAAAATTTTAACGACGCGCCCAGCCGAGCGGAATCGTGCCATTTAACCGTGGTGACGTTCTCGTTTCAGGAAAACCATTTCCGGTCCGTAACTGCACGCTCGCGAACCAGACTTACACCAGCGTGGAGGTGAAATGCGTGGCTGGCTATGATGGCGGGCTTCCGCAAAAATTCATCCTGGAGGTGTACCACGGCGACGTGGATTTCCTGTCGAGCAGCCAGCCCCTCTACAACGTCTCGAACGTCGACGAGCCGAGTTTCTCCCTCGCAGGATTGGAGGCGTCCGTCGAGGCTGGCGTTCACGTCGCGGTCTACGCCGTGAACGCCAAAGGCCGCAGTCAGCCAGTCATCCTCAGCGAGGTCACCTATCGCGACGCCGAGAAACGTACCGGTAAGTCCGCATTTCTCCATCTTAATCCCCATTTCCAGTTCCCAATCCCCCGTACACGGCACTCGCGCCAAGTATCGTGAATTATCGATAACTGCCACCAATTACCCGATCTACGGAGTATTTCGAAGGTACATATGACTCTCGGTGAAGTCTGTTAAAATAAATCCAGGCAAAATTGCGCTCCGTCGATTTTTCCAACCCCAGCGGATTTTGCGCGTCGCGAGAAACAACCCCGCAAAAAGCACGTTCTCTCGAAAATCGATGCTAAATTTTCAATGACACGTGAATTATTAAACAGAATTTAGGAACACCCTGTATCCGCGTGAGATACGTGAATAAATTAGTAACAATCGAAGGAAATATCGAGGATAATCGATAGGAACGCGTGAGAATTTAAATAAGCCACAATACCATGACGTCTCTACGAGGCGTCGTATCGTGGGAAGTTTAGCGCGAAACTGGCAGATAGGATGGAAGATGTTACCATCGAAGGTGTTTAACGAGCGCGTGGGAAAGTCGACTGCGTGGGAAAATTGATCGGAAAAATCGCAACGCTTGGAGTTAATAACGTAATCGTCGGGAAAATAAGAAATCGGGCGTGTTTCGCTGGAAGGTAGACGGTTTCTCGAACGAACGACTGGATCTTAAAAGCGACCTCGGAGGAAAGAAAGGGATAAGCAAAGTGACAGAATGAGAAATGGACTGTCATGCGTAAGCTTAATCGAACAAGAAGCGCGTTCGAGGAGAAACGAGCCGCGTTAGGTTGACCCTGATCGATATAGTGACCGGCACCGATGTCAGGGAGATTAACAAAGCGTTCGGGGATTCAGCAGGCAAGGTCGCTGCCTGGTTCCTGCGGGTTCCGCGCCGCCTTTGAAACGGATGGTAGCTGTTCCCGAGTGGGTGGTGTCAGCGACGAGGTTAGTAAGCAAGACGAATCGCCACCCCCGAGACAACACACCGAGACGCATGCACCACACCCATTACGTGTCTCTGTGTACGCCGTGCTACTTAGGCCGCTAGGCGACTATGGTCGAAGGAAGCACACGGTCTACACCCTCGTCGGATAACTCCCGTTGCCGAAAATTTCCCCGTAACCGTTCTCGACGAATCGAAACGAGAATCGTCGAACGTGGCGTGCGTTTGAAACGTGCTATTTTTTCAAATACCGCGATAACGCTCTGTCGTCGTTAGAAAAAACCAGATAACTCGTAAATAATTCGCCATCACGACGCGTTTATTTTTCACCGCACGCTCGAACCCGGCTCTGCCGGATAGCCGATGGAAAAACGTTAAAAATGGTTAGCAAGGTGGGGAAAAAAAAAATAAAAAAAAAGGGAAAGAAATATAGGCGGAGACAAGGTCGGGGTGGAGAAAGGAGAATGATGCAAAAATGTAAAAGATTTGTCGTGGATAACGCGCAGTGAGTCACTGGGTGACGTCGTGTGTACACGCGCGATCGTAAATATCAGCGTGGCGTGGAGTTTACAACGAGGTAAAACGGAGGGCACCAAATCAATTGTCAGTAAAGTGATTTACGGTCGCGGCGGCGTCTATCAATTTGCAAGCGGGAGATGCGAGCGAGCGTGGAACGCGCGCGTACCTACACTCTCCTCTTCTCTTCTCTCCTATCCTCTCCTATCCTCTCCTACCCCCTCTATTCTCTCGTCTTCTCTCTTCTCTCTCTCCTCGTGCGCTCGCGCATGCACCCCGCCGTCACGACTTCTCGTACATCAACTTCTCGACGTTCAAGAACAAACGGTCATTACTTATGCTCTCCCTCTCTGAGACGAGACAAGCTCTCTCGGCTACTTACGGTTAAAACTACCCCCCTCGCTGGAACTCGATCGGCGAAACTCGACCGGCAGCCCGACAAGCCAACTCGAAAGTCGATTAGCGCGTAATTAAGACATTAGCCGGAAACTTGTGGCGTTTAAACAGCTCAGCGACCTTTCTTCTCCCGTTTGAACGTTATTGCACGCCTATTCGCGGAAGGAGGACGCGTCGACCTCGTATTTCGTCGCGGACTCCCCGTAAACGCGTCGTGGGAAAAATCTAATCGAATCGGAGAGACCAACTCTCGACCTCACCCGTAACCCTCTTCTTCTTTCTTCCTTCTCCCTTCTCCCTTCTCCTTCTCCTTCTCCTTCCCCGTCGAACACCGCGGTTAACCCCTTTCTCCCGTGCGTCGGAAGAATTTTTTCCCATTCGCCACGCAGAGCAACGAGCATCGAATTAAGGAAAGCAATTACAGATAATGGTCCCAACGGCACCCACCGACGGAACTGTACAAAAGTCGGAGTGGAAAGACGTCGGATACCGGTGGAAAAGCGAGGGGCAGAGAACGAAAGAGGGAGATAAGAAGGGGAGAGGGTGAAAAGAGAAAGAGAAGAAGCTATCCGGGAGAGATACGAATGTACAGGATGGTCATTAAGCGGCTGCACCTCCTCTCGCTCTCGTCTTCCCAGCCAGTTCTCCTCTCTCCGTTCCTGCTTCGCTCGTCTTTTTGGACATTAAACCGTTTCGCGTGCGGTAATTTTCCCGGGGTCATTTTTGCCGCTCTTCTTGCACCGTCGTTAACTTCACTTAGCTCTGTTTACCCCCGTCGTCGTTTCTCTTTTCAGCCGTTCTTCGTCCTCCCCGTTGCCTGCTCCCGATCTTCCTCCGTCCGACCCGCCTCTCGTCAGACGTCGCCGAAAGCTCGCGAGCTTCTTCGCCTTTTTTCACCCATCCGTGGCCGCTTTTTCCCCTCGCGCCACGCCTCCTTGTCAACTTATTTCTACCCTCCACCGAACCGACGAGTCGAGCACAATTAGCGAAGATCTTCGGCTCTTCTCCTTAAACGATCCCCGAATCCTCGATTCCGATAGCTCGACGGAAAATAAAGCAAGTGTCGAACGCGAGAACAGAATTAGCGGAAGATACGTAGAACTTGATGTGCACTGCTTCTTATCTATCTAATGTATGCTTGAAAAATTGGAATGTAAAATTTTCATTGGCGAATTTCGGTCGGAGACTATTTCGAGAACTCGTGGCCCCTCGAAGCCACGAGATTTTCCAACGTGGCGTTTTTCCCATGTCGCAACCGATCCTCGCGGAATCAAAGACGCTACCTGAGGAACAAACTGAAACGGATCGCGTTTCCAGCGAGTAAACACCTGCGAAATTGAATGGAATTCGTTTTCCGAAATTCTATATACCGTGTTTCTTCCAGCTGGAAAGCAGCAGACGTGCCGGCAATTGGTCGCGAAGCGCGACGAGGAAATTGAATTTCGCGATTCCGGTGGCAGGGTGACGACGCGGTGGAAGGGAGCGACGCGGAGGAATCGACGCGGTCCGTGACACGGGGATGTTAAACAAGTGCGTCGCGTGTCACGGCGAGCGCCGCGGCGCGGCGAGACGCGACGAGACGAGGCGACGACAGTTCGTTTGCCGATCCGCCGATCCGCTCCGCGCGTGCTGCTTCGCGTGTTTACGCGTGTCGTTAACGCGATCGAAGCACCGAATAACCGATCCCTCTATGTAACTCATCGCGAGTGCACGCCAATATCGTGCCACCTGTTCTCGTACGTTACGTCAATTAAAGGACGATCAAACCGACATGCGTTTCCGTTACGTCCGCGTGATGCATCGCGGGTATCGATTATCAGCGAGAAATCCAGCGAGCGTTCATACACGTAAGTACTCGAACGTTTACACGCGCTGTCCTTAACGAGCGATACACGCGCGTTGAATTGAAATATGTACTTGAAACGATATCGATACGCACGGCGAGAAATTAGCAAATGATTCGATAATCTGGTCGTACGATATCATCCATTGGTCAGGGAATACTGATCGAAAGCACCGGTAATTAAAATTCGAGCATTTTTTCAGTCACTAGGGGACTTTTCGTCGAACTCACTAGCGCCACCACGACCCGTATCTCCGTCTCGAGCAGTTGGATAATACTGTCGAATGTAGCACACAGTCGCGCATAACTCGACCGTTGGAGGATGACGATCGATCCGAACCGAATACAGGGAAAACGCGTTAGACTAGCGATGCACTGCGGATAATTGCGAGATCGCGAACATAACGAGCGGAAAGTTTCGTCTTTCGTCGTGTATCGCGAAAGCCCAACGGATACGTCGTCGGGACGCGTGCTGATTGGCGAGTACGTGTCTGAACCACAAATCCAGCCTCGTCTTCCGTTTCGTCGGGTTTCGTTGGCCGTGTCTTAGAACCCGGCTCACGCCGGACTCGATCGATCGATCGGTAAAAACGATTCGCGGGGATCGCTGGAAAGCCGCGTCAGCGGGACAAATTGCTTTACCGTTGTTGTCGTTTATTCGCGGCTCCGTCTTCGTCGTCGTTCATCCTCGACGTGGTCGTTTTGACTAAACTAACCCAGACCGACGTGGAATTATGAATTGTCGCCGCGGCAACCGCTTTAACGCGGAATCGTGGGAAGAAGAAAGGCAGCTTTAAATTCTATTAAAGCGGCGGCAAGCAAAGTCCTGTCGGAAGGAAAACGATTATTATCGCCATACGAGTCACACCGTTAAGTCCTTAAGAAATATTCTCTGCGGCGTAATATATTCCGAGTAGGAGTTTATATCAGCAGAGAGACAGAGAGGAGAGAGTGGGCGCATGAACGCTCGAGTTATCCAACTATTTCGCCGGTGGCCGGAAAATGGTAGCCGTGGAAATTCCTCAAACGGTTTGACCAGCGCCGCAGTCACCGCCATTCGTAACAGGTAATGTTGCCGGAAGTATCATAACGACCCATTCTCGGGTTTAAGCCCGTCTCTAAATACTGTCCGGAATTAAGCGGAAACGACTGGTCGTGATTATACGACCGACGACCGTTGCCCGCTTTTCAACCGAAATCTTTACACCGAGCCCGCGTAATACCACGGCACACGGTATAACGCTCGCTAGCGTTAAGACCCTGGGCTCCTTTGTTTCGCCATCGTCGTCGAAATCGCGCTCCCGGTACGGGACCGATCACAGCCACG